TGGAACATGTGATATGAATGAAGTGATTAGATGCATTGGAATAATTAGATTATTATTTAGTAACTATTTGGGTTATTATCTAGAATAGATTAATAGGAATAATTATTTAAATAGAGTTATTTTAGTTAGAGTGGTATGTTGGTAATTAGTAGTAAGAGTGGGGACGTGATGGTAAATAGAGGGTGACTAAGTGAGGGTAATTGAGGAAGAAGTTAGGGGTCCTTGTGATAACAGAGAAATATAGAGAGTTATACGGTTCATTCTGTGCGATCGAAATATTGGGAGAAGAGCAAGAGAAGAGGCTAGGGCACAGAGGGTTGGAGAATCATTGTAAGAGGCACGAAGAACAGAATCAATCACTCGAAACAATAAGGTAAGGGGTTTTTATCTGATTATTATGTTTGATCTAAGTGGTAGATGGTAATAGGATTTTTCCCTTAGTATTGACAATGGTGATTTGATGTTGTTGGGTTAAGGTTTGATGGAATTGTGATGATGGATGACCCGTAATGGTTGTAGAATTGAGGTATTTTATCAAATTGTTATTAGATGATGATTCCCCATGATTAGATAGTGTTTCAGGGCCTATAGCATACTAAAATCGCAGGAAAAAGTGGTCTGAAACAGTGCAGAATTGCAAACAGGAAAACCCTATTCGCAGAGGATCGTCGGACGACGGTTTCATATCGCCGGGAGACGGTGTTTCTCCAGGCAAAGGAGGGGCGAGCCAAGGAAGGAAAATTGGGGTGTTGGTCTCTGTTATGTATCACTGGGCGATGGATGGGTTTCTTCGGGTGATGGGAGGCAGATTTGGAATGTTGGATTCAAATCTAGAAACGAGCATAACTTTAGTTCTAGAGCTCAAAATGAAGTGTCGTTCGAAGTTGTGTGTACCTAACGTGATATAATATAATTAGGTGAAATAAAAATAAGACTTAGGAGTATTTTTATTGAGAACTAATTTATAGAAAGAATAGGCTCCCCGTGTTGAATCGCAATGACGATTTGTTTAACTATGGTGATATGTTATTATTATGATAATGTAACGATGTTCTGACGATGTCTTGATTTCATGAGTATACATGATGATTATATAAGTATACATGATTATGGTTATGTATGATGTTGATTAATACATGAATGATGATGTGTATGACTGGTTGTGGTCGTTTATATTTTTTATTGCGCATCATGCATTCATGGGACAACTTTGGTCTGTTTGATGATTTAGGACGTTGGCCCAATGATTTGGTCTCAATCCTATTGTGTGGATTTGGGATGTCTATGATTTACTCCGGTTCTAAGTGGGAATTGATCCTATGATTTGGGTCTTTGGAGGGTGATGGCCCAGTGTCCATCAAGAAGAATTGGTACCACATGCATGAGTCTATGTCCTTGCATTACATCTTATGTGGCATTGCATGATTCTTGAATTGATGATACCGTATTGTGTTGTTGAATCTGTATGATTGTTGATGTACTGGGAATATAATAATGTTGAGTTTATGTTGTGATACTTTAGGCTTATTCTGCTATGTCTATTACTTACATCTTATATAATGATTCTGATAAACTCACTCTTTCTGCTTGAATGTTGCCTCTACGTGGGTAACGTGCAGGTAATCTAGAGTAGTCCCTAAAGGCTTGGAAGAATAGCTTTGGAGTGTGATTTATTTTCGTTGAGTCTAGAAGGTCTTGTCCTGATATGTAACATCGGGGATGAGAATGTTTTGTTTTGAAAACTATTTCGTTCTTGTTTCGTTATGACATTTAAATTGTTTTTATGGAGTTTAAATTGTGTGGAATTGTGAACCATGAACCATGGGATACTATGAAGTGTTTTTAATGAAACTTGTTTGAACTATGATTCCGCTGCAAGTATGTGAAACATTGATAATGCATATGTCATGAATAATTTTGAAAACCCGTGTTACAGAGTAAGACTAGCACGTATGATTATTTAACGAATAAAATGTGACGCCCTTTTGTTGTATTACTCTGATATTATTTTAAATAATTATGAATATTTCGTTGGATTTAGAAGGGTGTTACATAAGGTACTGAGCCGAAAACATCAACCCAACCCGTCAAAAATGGTGGATCAAACGAGTCAACACGGCGGGCCTGACCCGTTTTGCCATCCATAATGGTGTGTGTTTAAGTTGGTTTTCAAGAATAGTTTAATTTTCAGATTATATAATTCTTTATCAATTTTAATGGTTGCATTTCTTTAATGAGGTGTATGGTAAAACAAGAAAAATACATTTGTATATATAATAAACTATGAATACGTTCCACAACGGTTATTTATATTAATTGTGATCTAATGTAATTTATTTGCTACTGAGTTTCAAATCCAGTATCTTATACATCACAACGGTTAATAAATATAACTATTTAATATCACGGGAGCTTACCAATATACTACAATGGTCCCAGGACCATAATTGTTAATAGTGAATTTACAACAATACTCTACACAACAACGTCTGATCATGTGTGATTATATGTATTTATCAATTATTTTTAAATGGGTTTTTCATAGTAGTGTGAGGTTCCTTTATTTATAACGTATACAAGTCATTCTCTTTGCTACTCAAACCAGGCTCTGATATCATATTAAATTGATAAACATGAATATAGTAAAGAAGATTCTCATTAAGAAGGAGAATATTGCAATAGTGATATATATACAAGAAGAGTGTGACACACACTAACTCTCTACACCATAGCACATCATATAGTTTCTTAGGGTGTAAGTAACTAACTTTAACTATCCTATAACTAACTCAACTAACATGTTCTAACTTTGTTGGAGGTGCATAGTTCTTCACTTCGATTGTTTTATCATTATCATCTTTATACTTCAATAGTTAGGATAAAACATTTTCATTCTATTGCTCGTATTATTTTGTGATAGTCTAGTACTATGTCCACGTGCTTGACATGCTCATCAAGATATTTGATTCCATCATAAATTTTCAGCTTTCGAGGTTTCTATAAAGACATACGAATGTGGCATTAAGTGATACATTTTGTGAGTGAGTTTCGTCTACGATGGATGTTGGATGACTCTATAGGGTGGTGCTCGAGCCTTCTCCGCGATCAATGATGGGAGAAGAAAGCCTCATTAGAAGATGATATTCAGGTGGTGCACGACTATTCAGGTGGATGATGGATGGCTCTATGAGGAAGGTGGTGCCTTATTGGCAACGCTTGAGCTCTGACAGTTGTAAATTGACATTGACGGGACCATCCCTATGATAACTCCAGAGTGAGCATGTTGCATATTTGTTGGAATCTTATCTTCTTTTTCTTCTATGTGAAAGAGCCTCACATTTTGTTAATGCAGGAGGTTGAAAATGTTCAACAAGAGGTTATTAGCATTGGGAACGCTTAACAGGGCTAGGAGAAGATGAAATTACAGGGGAACTGAAACTCGAGGTTGTAGAGGATGAGGAATCTATATTTATTGCGAAGGAACGAAATGAGTTTGCTCAATTGGTGGTTGAGGAATCATGGATGAAGCCTGATAATCTACATTGACGGCAAAAATAATTGGTTGAGTGTTGCATTAAGGAATATGAATAGTCGATCAAAGTTTGTGAATTGCGTTGTGAGTACAAATTAGATTTGAACCAACCATCGAAGAAGATAACAAAAAGAGCAATTATGAAACAATTACGACTGTCATAATTGTAACACTAAATGGATGCAATAACACAACTAAAAAACTTGAAAGAACAACTATAATTTGTGAGAATCAGAAAACATTCACACATATGACGTAATATTTTGTACAAAAATAGAGAATAACTAAGAGGTTGATGGTGACCTTCGTAGTGAGGCTTTTGGTTTGATGGTTATGGTTCTTTGCTGATTGGAAGGGGTACTTGTAAAATGTTAGCATTCCAACACTCAAGTCAATGTTTGAATTAGTGGAACTTTGTAAGTACAAGTGAAAACAATATTTGGGCGTGACTCATGGTCACATTTATATAGTGGGGACAATTATAATTTGTCTGCAATTTATCTGGCGTGGAGTGTGAGTGACTGTCGTATGTAGATCAACAATTGAGATTGAAGGGAGGTCGTGTTCATGCATGGTGTCCAAGGATAAAGGTCTATTTGTACGTCTGTGATTGGTGCACTCTTACTAGATTCATCCTAGAGATTGAGTTGATCTTAATGGGTCTTTGACCAACACAGAGCAAGACCTCAGAGATATCACCAACTAACATAATCTTCTATTTATTCGTGAGAGATTTGTAAGAATGAAGAGCTCATTATAGTTCAAAGTAAACCTATAAGTGGCTAGTCAATCTACATGTCGATTTTCTTCATGCAAAGAATAGTTGAACTCGATGTGCCAATTCTTATAAGTCATCTTAGTGATTCTTAAGACTAAGGTTGGAAAGTCGTAGTCATTACCAATCTTTTTATTGATCATATCCTTCAAGACTTTATAATCACTCTCGACCAGTAGATTTATAATTCTATCTTGCCAAATTAGCTTCATCTCCTTCGACATCAATCACATTCCATAATAAAAATAACATGTAAATCAAATTTTTACGCATAGCCTATCGCTTAATTTCTGGAGGAATCCTTGAATAAAACCTCCACACCCTGATCTTCTATCTACCTAGTATGAAATATTAGTAAACCAAACCTTAAATTTAGTTGGCATTAGTATTCTGTTGACAAATTTAGCTTAAAATAGATTAACATAAAATTATATTATATGAAATTAAATCACTGAATAGTGTTTAAATATGCAACCAAATACAACCTACTTAAATGTTCATCTTGTAATTCATCAACTACTTAATGCAGTTTTATTTTAGGCTGTAGCCCATGATTGTTCTAATGGATAGCTTGAAGCCCCAATTCTTCATCTATTAATTATGCATATGCCAATACAATCTTAATACAACAACAAAACATCACAATCCTTTTCATTTTGAAACAATTTCTTATTGACACTAGTAATAAACATATCAATGCTCACAACATCTCTTCATGAACTGACTCATCTGGTTTTGAAGTAACCTAGTTGCATCAGATTCTGGATAAAAAACATGAAACACATGTTTCTCATCCTTAGCCTCATCAACCTTAACCTCTTTCACACCTTTCTTCTTCAAAAACTCACCATACATAACACCTCTTTCCTTCAAAAAATCCTCCCCAGCAACATAAACCTCAACAGCAGGAAACTTCAACCAAACACTCTCAGAAACTTCATGTTTCTCAAAGTTACAACCAAAATAATCACGGTTCGAATCTTCAGGTATACTCAATCTCCAAAACATATCATTCATTCTCACATCCTCAGAACCTTCTTCACCATTCTCTTTCTCGGTCCTTTTCTCACTCCCAAAATAAGGATGTATAGGCATCACCCCTTTAATCTTCACAGGACAAAGCTCATTCTTCTGAATAGCTTTCACCGCAACATGATGTGAAATGTTCCCACCAGCACTATCACCAGAGAGAAACACATTATTCAAATCAGCATGTTCAAGAAAAGGTTCAACTTTCACATTCTCACCAAGCCATTCAAGTGATGAGTAACAATCTTCATGAGCTATCGGAAGACGATATTCCGGTGCTAAACGGTAATCGACAGAGAGAATAATGGAATGTGACGCGACAGAGAGTTCGCCGAGGAAAGAGTGGTAGCCTAGCCATGTTGTTGAGCCAATGCAGAAGCCACCTCCATGGAAATAAACTAAGAGAGGGAGGAGTTTTTTGTTTGGATTATTGGGAAGGAAGAGTCTTCCTGTAATTGGTTTTGAAGGGTTGATGATTATGTCTTTGGATATGTATTTGTTGGATGAATCTAAAGAAGGTGGTGATGTTTCTGGGTTGAAACGTTTCACTGTTCCATCAGAGAAAACTTGTAGAAACTCTGGTGCTTCTGCTATTAAAGACATTTCAGGTGATGAATTCGGAGTCTTGTGTATGAATTCTGAGTTGGAGACTATTATATAGATGAAGTTGAAGAATTATCAATAATATGTTGGTGTCGTTCTAATTCTTGTTTGGTTGGTCATGCAAATCATGCACTGTGGCATTTTGGTTATTTTAAGGTTCAAGATTTGAGTGAAAAAACGTTAAAAAAACATTAAACAACGTTAAAAAAACATTAAACGCGCCAGGTAGGGGTCGAACCTACGACTTTCTGCTTAGGAAACAGACGCTCTATCCACTGAGCTACAGGCGCTTGTTGATACAGTCTTACCACATGTAATAATTAACTTTGTTTAAATTGTTTTTGTTATATTTTAAGCCATTTTTCTTTTCATAAATGGTACTTAGTATTCACAAAATGGTTTATACACATTCATAAGAAATATTTTTCTCCAACCAAAATTACTAAATTAGTCTATGCATTACAAAATTCCAAAACACCTGTTTCTAACCAACAGCTTGGTATAAATATCTACATAAAGCCCACATATTGTTAGCATAATGATACAAGCTAGATGCCAATTTGAGAGAGTGCATGACACCTATAACCCTGGCTAAAATTTTACATTATTATTAAAAAGAAGAAAAATAATCACGAACTGGTTCAAAAAGGAGGCCAAACTTCACATAAAATGTGTTCTCAACATAGAAAAGAAAATGTTGGACAGGTCCTATCTATTTGGCTACTTTCTCGGATACTTTCTCCACAGAAGAGAAACCGGAAACACGCGAAGATGAAGAGTTTTAATCCTCTACCAGAGTCTCGCTATGCATGGGAGGTAATGAGTATATGCTTACAGTTGAGCTTCCCCCTCTAATCTCTTTCAGGGTGTCCAGTGCTGAAGTAGTTAGTTTGATGAAAACATTCTCCATGTTTTGGATCTCGGAAAGTTCTTTCGGGACATGCTCTAGCGTCTCTTTAGTTTCGTATGCAGTCGACCCACGCGCAACTTCTTCAAAAACCTCGCTGGTTGACAAGGATTGGCCTAGAGGTCCGTTTTTGGGGAAAATTATACTTAACATCATCTCACACTCCTTCACAAGCTTGTTAAGCACGTCGATTTTGAAGAATGGCTGGTTCAGGACATCTTGGATAAAAGGTAATCGGAGTAGCGCACCAGTTCGCTTATCATATTTCTTTATTATCTTTACAAGACCTGCACAGAGAATGACAGAAGAAAACACAATCATTATAAAAAAAAAAAACCACATAGCCGAAGAAATCATCTTTCACCTCTAATTCATTTTATAAAGTTTCTCAAGCCATTAGTTTATAAACTTTATATACAATATTGTTCCTATTTGATTTTTTTTTTGTGTAATCACTGACTTCATTTGATGCACCCATCTATTGACAAGTATAACTCAGTGATATTTTCAATGAGAAGCGTATTAGTAAAACACAGACACAATTTACAAATGCGAAGTCTTTCAGAACAAAGTACAATAGTTACCGATAATTTTTAAACATGTTCAGTAGTCATCTGATCTACCAAATATAAATATGGTTGTAAACAGTAGCCAATATAATTACTTAAGAATCGGTGTTATCAAACATCTTCTAAGCCGGACACACATGGCGGTTTTTGGGCTCACCGCCATTGTAAATATCCCCGATATTGCAGGTTTTCCTGCCACAACGGTGCCGCAAAACGGCCGGTATGGCGGAATTTTAGCTCTCCACCGTCAACAATATTAATTAAAACCAATAACGTCAATCGTGGGTAGTGCAAAATACAAAATAGCAGCACGTTAAAATTTCGCTATGCAATAGTGGTGCAGCGCCAATATTTGACAACACTATGTACTAATAAGCATATCGCAGAACAATAGCGCTGCGTCCAAATTCCACTACGCTATAGTGGTATAGCACAACAACAACATTGATTAAACCTTTCATCTAACTATACATACACCTTAATAGATTAAACTACCATCACAATCACTAAAACTAAAACTCATTGGCAATTTAGTCCTTAATGTAAATTGTATGTCCATTTAATCCTTAAATGATCCAGACCCATTTCTCATTGGCCCTCATATTGTACGTGTAAGGAATTGACACAACAATTATGAATAATTCAAGAACTAGATCATATGCACAACTTAATCGTGGTACTACATTGCAAGCGAAGTTACCTGTGTAGTTAAGTGCACTATAGTTCTCTAACAAAACCATCTCTCCATGAAAATCCACTATTTCTCTCCCTACTGTCATCAACTCTCCATCAGAACTCTTAGCCCAAGCAACTTTGTCCTGCAATTCCTACATAGCAAACACAAAAAACCAATCTTAGAAATGGAAAACACCAGGTTCACATCTCAAAGACTCATATCTCCCTGCCACATAAAAAATCAGAGCAATTGTGCCCAACATGTGAAAATTCCAACAGACATAGGGTGAAAATTTCAACAAATATCAAACTCTTCAAAACATTAATTAGACATAATACCCATGATAAAAGTCAAGACTTTATTCTACCATACACAAAAAAAAAATCGGAAATCATTGGATTTACCTTCCATTTGATAACATATTCCTCTTCTTTCTCAACAAAAAACCCATTGAATTTCTCAATCTCAACCTCCAACAGCCTCAGAAAATCGTTAACCTCTTTGGAAACCTCGCCTTCATCATCCAAACGCCGCCGTTTGGAGGAAGAAGAATCATCTTTAGGAACAATGAGTTTGAGCTGCTTCTTGAGATCCTTGTAGGAGAGAAACTTGTCACGCCAATCCGGCAAAGTTTGCTCGATCTGGTTGTTGAGAATCTTCCAGAACTTCATTTCTGAATAACTGAATAATCGATTATGCGTTTTTGCGTTAACGAAACGCGGTTTTGGTTATAATGGCTTATGGAATAATAATAATAATAATAATAATTATGATAATTTGAATTATGGATTAGGAATTGTTAAGAGGAGAAAATGGAGAATATATAAGGACGTGTTTGGGTTCCTGAATTGGAATATTCTTGAAGAGAGAATAATAATGGAATATACTTGTTCGTATTCTTGTTGTTGCTCTTATAAACCGATTTTATTGATTTTGTCTTTGTTCTGTTGGTTGTTCTTGTTACCTTGTGATGTTTCTTATATGCCTATGTTTTTTTTTTTTTGTGAAAAGAAAAAAACAAATATGAGAAAGTGAGGTGACAAAAGAAAATCTTTTGAAAATAAGTCTTAAAACTTAAGGGTGCTCTTGAGTTCTTAAAAGAGAATTATGCATTTGTGAATGATCATTTGTGCACTCCTCATATTTTAGAAGAAAAGGTAAAATGAGTTAAATGTGATATTTGTCGTAATTTAAAAATTGAAATTAACAACTTAAAGGGACAAATAACACATCTCCCTAAAATTCATGTTGTTTTTTTCTATTAGTTTAAGTGATTAAGGGAAAAGATTTATAAAACCTAATAAGAAAAATGTCCCTATCACGAGGAAGAATAGAAAGAATATTTTTCCTAGAGTGATTTGACACCATTATAGTAAAAAGGACATATTAAGCTTTGATTTCACATAAAAATTGTAAAAGTTCTTAATGGTCTCATGACATAGATACTTAAGAGTTTGAGTACAAACTCTCGAGGATCCAACATAATTTAAGTACTTAAATTATTTTGTTGATCTTCATGTAAGAATGTCTTACAATTATAAATAGAATTTGTTTCTTAGATAGTGGATGTTCAAGGTACATGATGGGAGTCACTTTCGTGTTTATTAATTTTCATCAAGAAATAGTGCATCTATATCACATATGAGGCAATAATTGATGTAAGATTCTCGGTGAAGGTATTGTGAGAAATCGATCCACAATCACCATAATTGATATATTTTTAATTAAATGGCTTAAACATAACCTCCTAAACATTAGTCAATTATGTAACAAAGAATAGGGGTGTTCAAATCCAAACAAATCCAAATAAAAAATCGAAAACCGATCCAAAAAACCGAAAACCATAAAAAACCGAAAGTTATTGGTTGTGTTTGGATGTTATTTTATGAAAACCGATCGGTTCGGATTGGATTTCGGATGAATTTTTCAAAATCGATCCAAACCAAACCGAATCGCATAAATATATTTTGATACTTATTTACTTTTTATTAGTATGACATGTTATGTGAATTTATTATTAGATGATAATAATTTTTTTAATAATATTTATTAGTTTGGTATAATCTATTTATTTTTATTATTTCAAGCATAATCAATCACTCTCATTTTGTAATATTAACTTTTAATATACTATATGTTATATATTATATCAAATCTATGATTTATTAGTAGTTTTATAATATTAATAAAAATATAATTTGTAATTTGGATATCCAAAAACCGATCCAAATTAAACCGCATAAAATTGGATCGGATCAGATTGGATTTTTTTAAATATATCATCCAAAACCGAACCGAACTTTAAGTGAATTAATCTTTGGATCGGATGAGTTTTTGCTTTAAAACCGATCCAAACCGAACCGCGAACACCCCTAACAAAGGACATACTATAATTTTTTGACATCCTAAATGGCCTAATTAAACATAAAAACCGATAAAGATAGAAAATAAGAATGTCTTTTAAACCCAAAAAAATTATGTTACCACATTTAATCTCTTGAGCTTCTCTGAATATATCTTAGATCTCTTTGGTCCCTTAAAGACTAGCATGAAAAAAAATGTTAAAAAACCTAAAACGCGCCAGATAGGGGTCGAACCTACGACCTTCTGCTTAGGAAACAGACGCTCTATCCACTGAGCTACAAGCGCTTGGTGGTAAAAATTACAACATGTAATTATATATTATTTCTTTATTGATTGTTATATTTTGAGGTAAGTATTCACAAAATGGTATATGCGCGTTATGTATTTAGTCTATAAAATTTTATTTCACATGATTTTCCAAGATAAATTGTTGGAAAATAACATTAAACTAGTTTTTCCCTAACTCGATTTGAAAATAACGACTTTAAGAAGTGATCATAATGGTGAATTTGTTAATTTCCACTTTGAAGACTTTCACGATAAAAATGGTATTACCTATAACTTTTCATGTCCTTGGACTCCATAAAAATTATTGTTGTAGAGCGTAAAACGGACTATGGTAAGTGAGATGTGTCTACAAAGTAAGATAATCCATATGTAATATCAAGAATATCAAACTATATGTTGTTATTGTTTATTTGAACCTAAGATGCATTTTTCCCCTATGAGAGTTCTCAATAGTTATGGTAATATAAATTGGTTGGATAATTGAAAAATGATTCATATCATCCCCTCTTTCAACGAAGGTGGTGGATGAGGTTCTTCTGCGACACTTGAAAGCTCAGTAGCTTTTCTTATTCCATCCATTAAAAAAAATTGAAAAAAAATGAGAATCAAGAAAATGATTTAAATAAGGTAACACTATTAGGTGGAAGGATGATAGTTGTTCGGATGTATCGTAAGAATTGATGTTGATATGATGAGTGGGAGGATGACATTTATTCATCTAATGGGATGTGTACATTAAAGAACTTCTATTGAAGTTCAAGTGTGAGTGGTTAAGTTTCACATTAACTATAAATAAAATAAATGTTAGATATATAAGATAAAAAACATGCACATCAATTGCCTTAAAATTTTGGGTGAATAGGAAATGACAACCAAAGGTCACCGTGATCAAGGAAGCCAACAATCTTACTACACTTGATCTCACTACATTGTTTGGTAAGCTTAAAGAACACGAGCAAGAACTCACTTTCTTAGATAAACATGAGAAAAAACATTAGAGTGGGCTAAAGAAGGATAAAGGCAATGACAATGAGGTAGAAAATAAGTCAATTTCTCTAAAGGCTTCTAATTCAAGGTCCTTAACAAATTAGCAAAGTGATAATGAAATTAGTGACAATGAGAAGTCAGATGATAAAGATATAGTACACTTTGTGAAAAGATACAATAGATATATCAAAAGAAATGGTGTAAGGAATTATGACAAAAACCTCACCAAGTCTAGAAGACAATCTACATCCTCAAAGGAAGACGACAACAAGAAAGGAAGATCAAGATGTTCTTATTATAATTGTGGCAAATCTAACTATTACAAGCCTAATGTCCACTCCTTGATAAAGATAATGATAAGGGTCAATACAATAAATCTAGCAAGTCTATAAGAGCTTATATGGCTTGGGGAAGTGATAGGGATTCCTCAAGTGATGAAGACTAAAGTGATAATGAAGAGTCGACAGTCGTTTGTCTCTTGACTTATTGTGATAAGAAGATGAAAACAAATGTCAAACTATCAAAATATGATGAAGTTTGTCTCTCGCCTCATTATCATGAAAAGAATAAAAAGGATGTCAAACCATCGTAACATGATGTGGTTTATCTCTCGGCTCATTATCATGAAAAGAATAAGAAGGGTGTCAAACCATCGAAACATGATGTGGTTTATCTCTTGGCTCATTATCATGAAAGGGAAAAAAATGTAGGTCATCCTAAACATGAACATGTTGATAGTTTGTCTCGTTTCAAATTACTTGATGCTTTTGAAGATCTGCATAGAGAAGCGATAGAATCTTTCAAAAAGCTAGCTTCAAACAAAAAGACATTTTCACAATTGGAAGCTAAGGTTGTTAAAACCGAAAAGCAAATGAAAGCTCTAAAGAATTCTATGGTAGATATCCAAAAAGAAAAAGATGAAAATGAAAAACTCTCGTGGTTTGACTTTGGTTGTGATACTTGTCACATTTGAAAGATAAAAAGGCCAAATATCTAAAAGTCAAATTAAACAAGGCTCTATAATCAAATGTAACTTTTTCCATTGGTACCTCAAAATACAAATTTCCTTCTCATAATCCTTATAGGAGGTACAAAATTGTTGAAAATGAATCAAAGTATAAAAGCTCATCTCATCTTAATTTAACTTGTAACTATTGTTGTGTGAAAGGCCACATTATTGCTAAATGAAAACTTAGGAAGTTCTTAGTTCCTAAAGGTGTTTATCAACGATTTCCTAAATGCAACCAAAGTTTTACTCACCCTTAATGACCCAAAGAAGATTGGGTACCTATTTTTTCTTATTGATTGTGCAGAAAAAATGTATTGTCTCTATGAAGAGAATACATGTTCTCAGTTATGGTAGCTCAAGGCATATGATAGGTGATATCTCTGGATTCATTGACTTTGTGGAAATGAAGAAGGGTGTTGTAACATATAAAGCATCAACAAGTATTATCAATTTGGTAAAAGATATGTAAGTTACTTTTGATGATTATTGTCCGAGAAATATCGTAAAAGGTATTTCGTTTCATGTTATAGGTGTATCCTCAAAAAACATACTCAAGGACGTCGAAGAAGAAATTAATCAATCTGAATCGATGAAACATGATAATGATCAATATAACTATCATGAAAAGGACAAGATGAAAGTTAAATCAAAATGAATGATCATCAAACAAATGGCCTTCTTGGACTCATCACAAGTCATACTTTTGGGTACTTTGTCAAAGTGAAAAGTGGTAAGATCGTTGATGTCAAAAGTTTTTGTGGTACATTGTTGCATTTGTTTCAAATTTCATTCGAAAGTTCCTTGTGAAATGAAAAGTGTATCTTCTGTCATATTAAACAGTGAGGTAGTATCGTTTCAATTTCCACTTTGTAAGTAAGTCATTCTTTTACCTGTTTATTTCTCAAGGGGTATCTGATATACTTTATTTGTGATATATGTTATGAATGTTCATTTCTAAAAATTTCTAATTGACAATCATTGTGTGTTTTCAATTTACATGGTTATAGTGACTTCATTCTAATT